CTCTGTACCATAAGCTATTGACATAGGTTATGCATATAACGTACGCGAACCATCCAAAAATGGTCAGCAATATTTTGTTGTACAGTTTTTCATAGAATGTTGCCATCCTTATTTTTTCTAACGTGTCGTCTACGATATCAAGCTGCCTCAGACAGTTTCTATATTTCTGATACAAAAATTGCAGTTAGAAAATAAAATCGTAATATATTATAAATTAAGAATTTTATAACCAGTAATGTTAAATATCATATATATAATCAGTCATTCAGTCATTCATATATATAATCAGAATCAATTATTCTTTAATGAGCGAATACATTTATATTATCCTACCTTATCATGATGCATCCCAATAACAACTGATAATAATGCTATCAAAGTGTTCAGCCAGATGTAAAATTGGTGAGTGATACGAAGACCACTCAAGCAACACATTATTGTATATAAGACTAGAAAATGGTAAACTGCCCACAACAACGATATGTATAAGAAGCTGTACCACGGTCTCGGTTCATTTACGGGAAACTCGATGATTCTTATACCAAGCACATAACTAATAAAAAGAAGAGGCGATAGTACTACTCGAATACTGTACATCTTCACAGCCGTTGGCGTCGTAGTTCTGAACTGCCGACAATGGTACTGAACGAAATATACAGCAACTACTTAAAATTACAGTTATTGCAATTATTGCACTTAAATGTATTAAAAGGATCGATCCCATCAATTTCAAATGTCACGTGCTTCAAAGAAAATTGTGTGCTCTTCCATTAATTGTTCTTACGTAGAATAAATGCACTCACATTACAAACAATGGTAAATTATATTTCTCTACTCCTTGTTTTTTACTTTCTATGAATTGTGTATTGCTATGTGACATATGTTTAAAAAGGAAAAGAGAGAGAGAGAGAGAGAGAGAGAGAGAGAGAGAGAGAGGGAGGGACAGAAAGAGAGAGAGGGAGAAAGTAATGCAATAACGAATCATGTACATGATAGTATCAGTTTTGCGTAGCCAGAATTGGAATTAGAATATTTTAGATTTCTTTCAAGAATATATAATGTTGGATTGTGCACCATAATGTCAGATAGTAAATTGACCATAATATCATCATCTACAAGAGACGACACGATAGTTTTGGTTCACTTGCGAAAAACTCGATGATTTTTACGCCAAATACGTAACTTGTAAGAAGAAAAAGCGACAATATTGGTTGAGTACGGTCAATCATCATGTTGACTGTCAGGGTTGTAGTTTCGAACTGTCGATGGTTTTATCGAACTACGTGATTAGCGATTCTTTGTGATTGTAATTTCTGCACTTACGTATATTGAAATAATCGACCCCGTCAGTTTTGTGTGTTACGAGTTATTGGAGGAAAAGAGAATATTCGTTAATTATTTCCGCACGGAATAAGCACATACGAATTGCAAACCATGACGCTACATTATTTTACTCTTTGTTTTCATATTGTATTAATTGTATTAATTGTATTACAAATTGTATACATTAATTGTACACATTAATTGTATACATTGTATTACAATGTGATATTTGTTCAGAAAGTAATCGAATAACGAAAAGTATGACAGTATGACAGTGTTAGTTCTCTCTTAACAGGTTGATATGAATGTTTAATGCATTCAAAATTTGTGAACAAATTATTTCTTAAATATATAAAAGAATCAGGGTAAAGTTTTCATTATTATTTTTTTATCTTTTTTTTCAATTACATTTTAATATATACATTAAAAACATAAAAATGACATGTTATTGGTTACAAAGCTGAAGCAAAATTTTCTATTAATTTTTAACGTATATTAATTTACACTTAGGATATGAGAATCACTTTATAGTGATCGAATGTTTGGTGGGAGAAGTAAATTACATCTTCTAATAAAATTAGAGTATTCCTTTCTTTCACAGCACAACATTTTCTGTAACAAACAATAAATTGAATTTTTCGAAAAAGTAAACGTTACATAAACATATTCATCGTAAATTGTTTGAACTCTTACATTTCTCTGCGTAATTTCTATCTTTTCATGTGCGACTGTACCAGTATGACTATAACAGTTAAAACGGAACTAGAGAACTGAAAAAGAAAAGAATTTGTCTTATAAACATTCATCGCTGGATAATTAGAGTGGATAATTATTTAATGATAGCGACGTACCTCGTGAAAAAGTTTGAAGCCAAACTGGAAGAGCCCAAGCCCATAAAATTTGAGCGGTGTTAAAGTTACTTGCAATACGAATTGCAAAATCTGTATTAGTAAAATAATTTATTTTATCATTTATTACAATTCAAGTTATTGTAGTAATAACGAAATATCTTACATTTTCACGAATCGCAACATCAACATTGGGATAGGGTATTTTACTTATAATTTCTCCTGTTGCATTCGCCTAAAATGGAAACATTAGTAGTAGCTAATGAAAACACCAATGAAACTAATTTTTATGTAGCTTTCTGGCCGTGTAAATTCTGTATATTTACGAAAAATAAATGTATATGTGTCTGGAATATAAACGTTGAATTATTACCTTAACGCAGACTTTCTCGCATGTGTAATTAATAAAGAAGAGTCTGAAAATATTAAAAACGAGGATATATATAGTCAAGAGGATGTATAGAGTTTTTTTCTGGTTGTAATTAGTAATGAGCAGTATGTTGAAAAGCTCGCTAAAAGCTATTGCCATAAATGTAAAATAAGCTGCCATTTTAATCGTCATTTGTAATCCAAAAATCGAATTTAACTCCCGAGATATTTTACACAGTTGTAAATGCAGATGTCTGTAAGAAAAACATAACATTCATTTGCTTTGTAGTACCGTCGCTATTTATTATATTTACATGGATTTTTCATGATACATTGCAATCCATGTAGCAGTTTCGCTGCTCGTAAATTTCAGATATCCGATTTGACATGGCAGCAACTCAGAATGTTGCCAAGCTTGCTTTAATCCATGTCCATTATTTCCATCCAACTTCCGAATATATTCGTTGAGTTGCTCGAACTTCAATTCTATGTATCTAAATGTAAAAGAGACTAATTTATAATGATAGTCACCGTTTAGTTTATACGAATGTATTGCATTGAAATCCTTAAAATATTTAGAAAAGAATTTTGCTTTTAATTATACATACACATTTTAATCGCTAAATAGATCTTTTACATGGGTTCTTACTATATTTACTATACTTTTGTTCTTTATGTTACGTGTATACTAACCCAAGAGTGCTAGTAATAAGAAGATCATTGAACATATTAACGTAAGTAGAATAGTCGAATAGAAAGGCAATGTAGAGAGAATATGAAGCATTAAAATAATCTCTAAACCACAGAGTACTGGCACAGGTTGTGCATAGAATGTACGCGAACCATCCAAGAACGGTCAACAACATTTTCTTGTATAATTTTTGGTAGTTTGTTGTCATCCTTATTTTTTCTAACGTGTCGTCTACGATATCAATCTGCCTCAGACAGGTTCTATATTTCTGACACGAAAATTGCAGTTCGCAAATAAAATTGAAATAAATTATAACTTGAAAATTTAATAAGTAATAATTACGCAGTTATTCACAAATATAATCAGAATCAATTATTTTTTCATGAGCGATTACATTTACATTTTCCTACCTTATCATGATACATTCCAAGAACAATTGATAATAGTGCTATCGCAGTGTTCAGCCAGAAGTAATATTTGAAGATGATGGGAAGGGTATTCAAGAGATGCATTATTGTATATAAGACTAGAAAATGGTAAATTGCCCAGAACAGCGACATGTACAAGAAACTGTAACACAGTCTCGGTTCACCCGCGGGAAACTCGATAATTTTTATACCAAACACATAACTGATCATAAGGAGTGGCGATAATATCGCTCGAACGTCGCCAGTCATCGTGAACGTTGCCGATACTCTCTTGAACTGCTGGTGGTATCGCCTAATAGCACCGGATATTCGATCTTAGTAATTGCAATTAATGCACTTAGGTATATTGAAATAATCGATCCGTTTCGCATATGACGAGTTATTGAACAGGTTTTCGGAAAAATTTAATAGCAATGCGTTTATTCCTGCTCAAAATAAATACAATCATTTAGTAATATTGCTTTTGTTATTTTTTCTTGTTTATTATAAGACGATAATATAGACGATGTATATTTAGAAAATAATTGTACACGGAATTAAGCAGGCGGATAACGTTACTTTAATCGAATGAATGAGCAGTTTATTACAATTCTCGTCCAATCAATAAATCAAATATATTTTACGACAGAGTGAATTGTTTTTCATAAAGTATTTAAGAGCGAAATTATTTTTCATTTAAGAGATTAGTATCAATTGTGAACAAGAGATGATTACTGAAGTACATTAAGTGGTACAAGTACGTACTGTTTGTTTTTCCTGAAAAAAAGAATTGATGAAAATCAATTGTACAGCCTTGTTTCACAAACTTTGAATTAAAATGCGTTTACCTAATATGACATCCAGTTTCCTGCCTTGTCGATTATAGTCTGGCAACGTCGAGGCATACTTTCGACAAGATTTTCAGCCAAAGTCTCTGGAAGTGACCTCCATATTTACCTACATATTAACTTGCAAGATAATTGCAACTCAATAACAAGCCAAATTACGGGTATAACTTAAAAGCATTTTAGTCGAAGATACCGACAAATGAAAACATCAAGGAACATAATTACGTACCATCTGTTGGTGGAGATATAAATAGTACGCTCTTGTGCTTACTGTACTTACTGTATCAGTACCATTTTACCATTATACAAAATATAAGGTATAAAAGACTACTTTTTCACGAAGATAATAATTATCAAAAGAATGGCTAAAGAAAAGTAATATTGTCGGAATAATGGAGTTGAAATTACTCAATCTTTACATCACTATATTTTCGGCAACAAATAGTAAATATTAATTTTTAAGTAAACTTAATGACATTTGCACATATCAGTTGTAATTTGTTTTGACATTTATATTTTTCACTGTATCTTTTACATACTTATGTGCGACTATACTAATATGACTATAACGGTCGAAAGAGAACTGGAGAACTAAAAAAAGAAATTGGTTTTTTTGGTATTCATTATCTTATGTCTGGATCATTATGTAATAAGAGCAACATACCTTGTAAAAAAATTTTAAACCAAACTGGAAGAGCCCAAGTCCGTAGAATTTAAGTGGTTTTAACCTCAGTTGTAATAGAAGTTGCGAAATCTATATTAATAAAATAGTTTATTTCACACCATTTTTTTAATTTAATATAGTAATTAAATATTAAATTTAATATAGTAATTAAATATCTTACATTTTCACGAGTCACAACGTCAAGGGTGGAATAGGGTATCCTATTTAAAACGTCTCCTGTTGCATTCGCCTAAAATAGAACTGTTAATAATGGCATATAATAACATTAATGAATTTAAGTTCAACACAGTTTTCTAGCCGCGTGATCTCTGTAAGTTCATTGAAAATAGATATATTAGGTATAATGGAACGTAGAGTTGTTACCTTAATATTTACTTTTTCACACATGTAATTAAGAATGAAGAGTTTGAAGATATTTAAAATAAGGAAAATTGCGTTGAAGACCATGAATAAGGTTTTCTTTTGGTTGTAATTATCTACAAGAAACATATTAAGAAACTCGCTAAAACGTATCATCTCAAGGACGAAGTATGCTCCCATCTTGATAGTCATTTGTAATCCAAATGTCAAGTTTAACACGCGAGATATTTTACATAATTCCAAATGTAAATGCCTGCGAAAACCAGATATTAAGTTGCACTGCATTACGTCGTTGCGATTTATTAAATTCTCATGGATTTTGAGAATACATCACGACCCATGTAACATATTCGCTACTCGTAGACTTCGGATATTCATTTTGGCACGGATGTAACACGGTATACTCCCAAGTTCGCTTTATTCCGCGCTCGTTATCTCTTATCAGCTTTCGAAGATATTCGTTGAGTTGCCCGAATTTTAATTCTATGTATCTAAATGTGGAAGAGACTAATGAATAATGTAATAGTTACAGTCTAATATATACGAATGTATTGCATTGAAATTCTTAAAATACTTAGATATTTATATTATTGTGTTTTCATTTTCATCTTATATGTATACATTTTAATCGTTAAATATCTTTTGAATGGGTGTATTGAAATTTGAGTATATCAGCGAATATCTTCGAAAGTTGAATACTAACCCCAGAGTAGTAATAATGATCATGTCATCAAGCAGGTTGACAAAAGAAGCATATTCACACATAAAGCAAATGTAAGAGGAATAGATGGCACTATAATTATCTCTGTGCCATAAAGAACCGATAAAACATATGCATATAACATACGCAAACCATCCAAAAATTATCAATAACATTTTTGTATATAGTTTCTGGTAATCTGTTACCACTCCTAATTTATCTAGTGTACTGTCCACGATAGCGAGCTTTTTCAAACAGGTTCTATATTTCTGACAAAAGAATTGCAATTGAAGAATAAAGATTGTAATGAACTACAATTTAAAATTTTAATTATATACTTGTGTTAAAGGTCCTGGCTATTCAAATATTATCATTTATTCTTAATAAGCTAGTACGTTGGTATTACCTTACCTTATTATGGTACGCCCCAAGAACAACCGACAATAATGCTATTGAATTGTGTAGCCAGAATTGGAATTGGAATATTTTAAAGTTCTCAAATGCATAATGTAGAACTGTACACCACAATGTCAGATAGTAAATTGACCATAATAGCAGCATGTACAAGAAACTGCACCATAGCTTTGGTTCACTCGCGGAAAACTCGATGATTCTTATGCCAAACATGTTACTCGTAAGAAGAAGAGGCGACAATACTGCTTGAATACTGCTCATCGTGCTAACCATTAGCGTTGTAGTTGCGAACTGCCGATGGTTTTATGGAATTACGTAGTTAGCGAATCTTTGTGATTGCAATTTCTGCACTTACGTATATTGAAATGATCGACCTCGTGAATTTTATATGTCACGAGCTATTGGAAGAAAAGAGAATGTTCCTTAATTATTTCCGCGCGAAATAAGCACATTCGAATCGCAAACCATAACACTATGTTATTCTACTCTTTGTTTTCATGTTGTATTAATTGTTTTACAATGTCATATTTGTTCAGAGAGTAATCGAATAATGCAAAGTATCAATGTGACAATATTAGTTTTCAGTTGATATGACCGTTTAAAGCATCCAAAATTTGTTAACAAATTATTTTTCAAATATAGAATCAGGATAAAGTTCTTATTGTTATATATTTTTTTTAAATTATAGTTTATAATATATACATTAAAAACATAAAAATGTGGGATATTCTTTTAGGATAGTCAAATGATATTTAATTAAAAATCGTTGTTCCCACATAAATAAATTTATTAGAAACGAGTGGTGTTTGTCGGGATTCAATTTTGCTTTGTTTGGACTTAATACCTCTTGACGTTTTCATTTGTTCTCTTTTTCTATAAAAAAACGACGCAAGAACAATCTTCGTTTCTTTTCGCTCGCTTCGCGACTCGGTTCTTCTCTATTCTACAAATCTGCGTCTTCGCGTCTCCATCCCAATTCTATTTTATTTGCTTTTTCAATATTTTATATTGCAGCTATTGCTTTGTCTCCAATCATGTGATATCCGCATGATGTCAACATGATCATACTGATAAATACAGGAGATTAATATAAAAACAGAATGATAAAAATGAGGTTATATATGCTGTTACATTGTAAGCGTTATATTTGCAATCGCTAATTTTAAAAGTTATCACAAAAATGACGTTATGGATTATAAATCTGTGTGTGAAGCAAGATTTCCTATTCGTTTTTAACCTAGGTTAATTTACACTTTAATATATGAAAATTATTTGATAATAATCGGCAGATTGACGGATGGAAGAAATTACATCTTCGTTTTAACCCATTAACGTTCAAATATACTGAAATTTTACGTTTATTTGAGCCATTTATTTTATTATGGAAATGAGGTCTATTGTTTATAAAGAGTACCATTCCTATCAATTTCGATGTCTCTCTGTCGAATAGCGTTGAGAAAAATAAAAAAAATCGTAATTTATGGAAAGCTTTTGCAAATTAAAATAAAAAAACGCATTATTTAAGTCTAATTTTTTCTGCGTCCGCTATTTTCTCCTTAAAAGCTATTTTCTTCTTACAATATTTGGTTATCAAAATTATTTTACTATGTAAATTACTATGTTTATAATTATTATCCACATATAAATTTTATAGTAATATGGACCCTAAAATAATTTCAATAACTAAATATAAACGAAATTTTGGTACCGCCATGTTTGTTCAAAAAAATACCTGCGGCACATTTTTTAAAATGTCGGGAACATGTTTTAGACACTTTCCCGAGCGATACTAACACGTTTTTATGGAGAAAATAGCGGAAGAAGCCTAAAAACATGCATTTTTAAATTTTATTTTGCAAAAATTTTGCATAAATTGCGATTTCTTTAAATTTTTTCAACGCTATTCGATAGAGCCACATCAAACTTGCTAGAAATGGTACTCTTTATAAAGAACAGACCTCATTTCCGTAGTAAAATAAATGGCTCAAATCAACGTAAAATTTCAGCACAATTAGGCGTTAATGGATTAATAGAGTTAAAGTATCCGTTTCTTACACAACACAGCATTTTCTGTAACAAACAATAAATTTAATTTTTTGAAAAAGTAAACGCTACATACATATATTTATTGTAATTTATTTGAACTCTTACATTTTTCTGCACAGTTTTTATTTTTTCATGTGCGACTGTACCAGTATAACTATAACAGTTGAAACGGAACTAGAGAACTGAAAATAAAACGAATTTGTCTTATAAGTATTCATCGTCGAATAATTTATCCTTGGTTCATTAGAGTGGATAATTGTTTAATGATAGCGACGTACCCCGTGAAAAAATTTTAAGCCAAAATTGAAGAGCCCAAGTCCGTTAAATTTAAGCGGTGTTAAAGTTACTTGCAATAGGAATTGCGAAATCTATATTAGTAAAATGATTTATTTCATAATTTATTACACTTCAATTTATTGCAGTAATAACGATAGATCTTACATTTTCACGAATCGCAATATCAAAATTGGGATTGGGTATTTTACTTATAATGTTTCCTGTTGCATTCGCCTAAAATGGAAATATTAGTAGTATCGTATGAAAATATCAATGAAATTAATTTTCACATAGCTTTCTGGTCGTGCAAATTCTATACATTTACAGAAAATAGATATATACATAGATGTATGTGTCTGGAATATGAACGTATAATTATTACCTTGACACAGACTTTCTCGCACATATAATTAATAATAAAGAGTCTGAAAATATTTAAAACGAGATAAGATATAGTCAAGATGAGTGATAGGGTTTTCTTTTCGTGGTAATTATTAATTAGGAATACGTTGAAAAGGTCGCTGAAACCTATTGTTATAAAGGTAAAATAAGCTCCCATCTTGATGGTCATTTGTAATCCAAAAATTGAGTTTAACTCTCTAGATATTTTACACAGTTGTAAATGGAGGTGTCTGAAAACAAAAGCATAATATTCACTCGTTTTGCAGTACCGTCGCGATTTATTAAATTTACATGGATTTTTTATGATACATTGCAATCCATGTAGCAGATTCGCTGCTTGTAAAGTTTAGATATCCGATTTGACATGGCAGCAACGCAAAATGTTCCCAAGCTTGCTTCCATCCGCGTCCATTACCTCCATCCAAATTCCGAAGATATTCGTTGAGTTGCTCGAACTTCAGTTCTATGTATCTAAATGTAAAGGAGACTAGTTTATAATGACAATGACCGTTTAATGTATGCAAATGTATTGAAATTCCTGAAATATTTAGAAAAGAAGATTGTTTTTAATTATATATACGCATTTTAATCACTAAACATCTTTTACATGAGTTATTTTATATTTTACATGTATACTAACCCAAGAGTGCTAGTAATAAGAAGATCATCGAACATATTAACGTAACAAGAATAGTCACATACAAAGGCAAAGTAGAAAGAATATGAAGCACTAAAATAATCTCTGTACCATAAGCTACTGACACAGGTTGCACATAGAACGTACACCAACCATCCAAAAACGGTTAGCAACTTTTTCTTGTACAACTTCTGATAATCGGTTGTAATCGTTATTTTTTCTAACGTGTCGTCTACGATACCAAGCTGCCTCAGACAGGTTCTATATTTCTGACACAGAAATTGCAATTTGCAAATAAAATCGTAATATACTATAACTTGAGGATTTAATAAGAACTAATATTAAATACCGCAATTATTTAACCGCAATTATTCATAAGTATAATTAGAATCAATTACTTTTTAATGAGTGATTATATTTATATTATCCTACCTTATAATGATACATTCCAAGAACAACTGATAATAATGCTATCGAAGTGTTCAGCCAGATGCAAAATAAATAGATGACGGGAAAGCCACTTACGACATGTATTGTATATAAGACTAGAAAGTGGTAAATTGCCCACAACAGCGACATGTACAAGAAACTGCACCACAGTCTCGGTTTACCCGCGGGAAACTCGATGATTCGTATACCAAGCACATAACAAGTAAAAAAAAGAGGTGAAAGTACTACTCGAATACCGTTCATCTTCACGACCGTTGGTGTTGTGGTTCTGAACTGCCAACGATTGTACTGAACTAAATTGGTAGCAACTCCTTGAAATTGCAATTATTGCAAATACTACACTTAAGTATATTGAAATGATCGATCTCGTCAATTTCACATGTCACAAAGATAATGTGTTCTTCCATTCGTTGTTTTCGCACAGAATAAATGCATTTATTTCATAAAAAATAGTAAATTATATTTTTCTACTCTCTATTTTTATTTTCTGTTCATTGTATATTACGATATAATATATATTTAAGAGAAAAGAGAGAGAAGAAAAAGGAAACAATAAAGAAAGAGAGAGAAACAAGTAGTAATTGGACAACGAATGAAGTTTGTGATAATATCAGTTTTGTACATCCATAATGAAAGATTGTACATACAAATATCAGACTAATTTGATCATAATAGCAATATGTAATTTGATCATAATAGCAATATGTGGAAGAAACTATATTCCAACCAATTTTGGTTCATTCACGTGAAACTCGAAGATGCTTATACTAAACATGTAACTTGTAA